GGAAACGACCCGCGTCGGCGCCGGCCCCACGGCCCTGGGAAGGGCCCCGGGCTCGGGTCCGGGTTGAGGCCACGTGCTCACCTCCGTCGCGGGTCCCCAGGGCAATGCGTCCCTACCGCTGGGGTCGGTCTTTGCGGCGCCGGTTGGCACGGCGACTTCACTGCAGCGCTGCTCCTGGCCCTGCCTGGCTGCTTCAGACGGAAGGCAGGCTTATGTCGCGGGTGTGCGCTTCCTGGTTATAAAGGGAAGCTGGAAACTTAAGCGTTTGGCTTTCCCAGTCACGGGCTCGATATTTTCTTCGTAGCAACCATGTCTAAGGGACCTGCAGTTGGCATTGATCTTGGCACCACCTACTCCTGCGTGGGTGTCTTCCAGCACGGAAAAGTAGAGATAATTGCCAATGATCAGGGAAACAGAACCACTCCAAGCTATGTCGCCTTTACTGACACCGAACGACTGATCGGTGATGCTGCAAAAAATCAGGTTGCAATGAACCCCACCAACACAGTTTTTGGTGAGTCATTAATTTTAAACAATTATCACATGAACTTAAGGGTAATGGAAAACAAGAATGCCAAGGAACTGTTAAATTTGTCAAATGTGGAACTAAAAGTCCTAAACGATAGAGAAATCCCCGCTACTGGGACTCCTTTATTTTCAGATACGTAGTTCTGAAGGTTAAGGCATTAGTTTTGTCAAGCTACACAAAGTGTAGATAGAGTGGGCTGTATAAACAGTCTACTTAAAGAATTAGTGTTATTTTAAATTTGACCAGAGAAGCAAAGAGAAAAAGCAAGCCACCAGGTCCAGGACCTGAATTGTGGACCATGTGGGAGTTCAATGCCTTAATATCACGCCACCTGCTGGCCTCAGGGTTGTATTGTGTATTCAATCAGTCAGGCTCTTGGGCTTTACTGGGGAGAATGTTACAAGATTCTAAGGCATTTGTAATTGACTGCATTGATACTGTTCACAGATGCCAAGCGTCTGATTGGACGCAGGTTTGATGATGCTGTTGTCCAGTCTGACATGAAGCACTGGCCCTTCATGGTGGTGAATGATGCAGGCAGGCCCAAGGTGCAGGTGGAATACAAAGGAGAGACCAAAAGTTTCTACCCAGAAGAGGTGTCATCTATGGTTCTAACAAAGATGAAGGAAATTGCAGAAGCTTACCTTGGGAAGGTGAGTAGTGTCCAGAACTAGGCGTGAGGCCTTAGGCTGCCAGTGCTAGGTGACGTTCTTTATGGGAATTACTGTTTTTAGATTTTTACTGTAGGGCCTGTGCACTTGCTGGAGAGAAAAATCACTCCTGAGAGGGGATGATGGGTGTTCCACAGTCCCTTCTCTTATTATATTAGATTCTGGGCTCACGTGCTTGGTGTGTTTAGACCTGCCAGGTCCAGGACTCAAACTGTAGTCAGCCATGTGGGAGTCCAGCCCCTTAACCACTATGCCACCTGCAGGCTCCTACCTAGTGTAGTTTTGACTACACACAGGGAGCTTACCAGCTGTAAACTGCGGGTGAGGAGTGATTTCCAAGCATTAGAAATGAACATTTGCCAAAGTTAGAATGCTGCTGGGGTTTAAGTGGAAAGTTGGGACAGGAAATGTTTTTGTTAATGAAGTGGTAGTTGGGCACTAAAGTGGCTTCTTTGTTCCGTTCCCAGACTGTTACCAATGCTGTGGTTACTGTGCCAGCTTATTTCAACGACTCTCAGCGTCAAGCTACCAAAGATGCTGGGACTATCGCTGGTCTCAATGTGCTTAGGATTATCAACGAGCCGACTGCTGCTGCCATTGCCTACGGTCTAGACAAAAAGGTATGGGTCACTGGTGATGCAATATATCTGGATTACTTCCAGGGTGTTTTGAGCTAGGAACTTATATAACACAATGCATCTATTTTCAACGGCAGGTTGGAGCTGAAAGAAACGTACTCATCTTCGACTTGGGAGGTGGCACTTTTGATGTGTCCATTCTCACTATTGAGGATGGGATTTTTGAGGTCAAATCTACAGCTGGAGATACACACTTGGGCGGAGAAGACTTCGACAATCGCATGGTCAACCATTTCATCGCCGAGTTTAAGCGCAAGCATAAGAAGGACATCAGTGAGAACAAGAGAGCTGTCCGCCGCCTTCGCACTGCTTGTGAACGGGCTAAGCGCACCCTCTCCTCCAGCACCCAGGCCAGTATTGAGATCGACTCCCTCTATGAAGGAATCGACTTCTATACCTCCATTACCCGTGCCCGATTTGAAGAGTTGAATGCAGACCTGTTCCGTGGGACCCTGGACCCTGTAGAGAAGGCCCTTCGGGATGCCAAACTAGACAAGTCACAGATCCATGACATTGTCCTGGTTGGTGGCTCTACTCGTATCCCCAAGATTCAGAAGCTGCTACAAGACTTCTTCAACGGGAAAGAACTGAATAAGAGCATCAACCCTGATGAGGCTGTTGCTTATGGTGCAGGTAAGGCTCTTAACTTAGCTTTAATCCTGTAAGCAGCCTGTGAGAGGTCCAGCTGACTCGCTATGATGAATGATTGATCAAACATTCGTAGTTTCCACCAGAAGCTTAGCTGCTGATGGCCTGACTTCCTTGGATGTCTGAGCGAGTGAGGCCTCTCAGTGAGGCACGCTGAGTTCTGTTGAGAGATTAACATTCTCTTTCTGTCTAGCTGTCCAGGCAGCCATCTTATCTGGAGACAAGTCTGAGAACGTTCAGGACCTGCTGCTCTTGGATGTCACACCTCTGTCTCTCGGCATCGAAACTGCTGGCGGGGTCATGACCGTCCTCATCAAGCGGAACACCACCATTCCCACCAAGCAGACGCAGACCTTCACCACCTACTCCGACAACCAGCCCGGGGTGCTCATCCAGGTATGGCGGCTCACCACCTTCTGCTTACTGGGCTCAGACCAGAAGTTTGTCTCGCTGTGATGACGGATTCCAAAACCATTCGTAGTTTCCACCAGAAGTCTTGGTGTTGGCAGTTCCTTCCTTGGATGTCTGAGCGATGTCTCCTGGTTGATGACTTACTGTAATTTGGAGCTACAACTACGAGTAGCCCAAAAAGCCATTGTAACTCCCCTTACTCTTCCAGGTTTATGAAGGTGAGCGTGCCATGACCAAGGATAACAACCTGCTGGGCAAGTTTGAGCTCACAGGCATACCTCCTGCACCCCGTGGTGTTCCTCAGATTGAAGTCACTTTCGATATCGATGCCAATGGCATCCTGAACGTCTCTGCTGTTGATAAGAGCACTGGGAAAGAGAACAAGATCACCATCACCAATGATAAGGGTAAGTGCTCTGAATAGAGTTGTAATCTTCCAGGACACTCGGTCAGATGTTCAGTTACTGGTAGAGGTGTGGGATTGTAAATTATGGATTACAGAGACTCAAGCCTTGGCCTGTCTTTTCCTTCACAGGTCGTCTGAGTAAGGAGGACATCGAGCGCATGGTCCAGGAGGCTGAGAAGTACAAGGCTGAGGATGAGAAGCAGAGGGACAAGGTGTCCTCCAAGAACTCCCTGGAGTCCTACGCTTTCAACATGAAAGCCACGGTGGAGGACGAGAAACTCCAAGGAAAGATCAACGATGAGGACAAGCAGAAGATTCTTGACAAGTGCAATGAAATCATCAACTGGCTCGACAAGAACCAGGTGAGTGCTTGTCTGTGGGGGTGGGGAGGAGTGCAGGACTCAGTCACAATGATGAGTGATCCACAACATTCGCGGTTTCCACCAGAATCCCAGGTGTTGGCAGCTACCTTCCTTGGATGTCTGAGTGACCTGAGAGAACCTAAGATCTTGTTTGCAACAGGCTTTGGTGTTCAGTTTTTCCCAGGCCCTCAGTATCAGATGGCATCAGACTTACTAAAGAATGCTGCTCAAATAACTTTTTCTTCCATTTCAGACTGCAGAGAAAGAAGAGTTTGAGCACCAGCAGAAGGAGCTGGAGAAAGTCTGCAACCCCATCATCACCAAGCTGTACCAGAGTGCAGGGGGCATGCCAGGGGGGATGCCTGGGGGCATGCCTGGGGGCTTTCCCGGCGGGGGTGCACCTCCGTCTGGCGGCGCTTCCTCAGGACCCACCATTGAAGAAGTTGATTAAACCAACCCTGAGTGTAGATTACATAGCATTGCTCCATGCAGTAACATGTTGAAGGACCCCAATTTGTAGTGAACTCTGGCAGTCTTAAAATTTCAGCTGCTATAGTGAATTACTGGGCATTCTCAATACTTGAAAATGGAACACATGCACAGGGAAAAATAACATTGCACTTTATAAGCACTGTATCGTAAGTGGAAAATGCAATGTCTTAAATAAAACTATTTAAAATTGGCACCATACAACTGTCTGCTGTACCATTTGGGCAAGCCTTTGGTAGTGAATGGACATGAAGGTGTGTGTGGAAAGTAGAGGTGGTTTGTTCCAAGGACACCAAGTAGTATGTCCTGAAAGCAGCTGCCTGCAAAGCTGGGTGACAGGGTCCAAGAGCTCTGGAAAAGAATCTGAGTGCCTAATGTAATCACATCTGGGTTACAGCCTAGTCCATCAATGAGCATTGGAGGTAAGTGGGGAGAAGGGTCTCATTTCTCATGTTACACTTCTGGTTGGCCTTGGCAGAGGTAGGTTGCTTGGAAAGGGCTCTGAGCTGTGTTTGCAGTTTGTTTATAAATCTAATGAGCCAACTATTCTGGCTAATGATAACTGGGAAGCATGCCAGAGAAAGGGACTGAGCCTGTAGTGAAGTTTGAGTCAATTAAAATGGAAAGGTCACTTCCTCTAAGCAGGACTCCGAGGTGGTTAGGATAGACTGCTAGCTCTTCAGGTTGGAGAGCTTTTTGCTATTGGGAGCATGCTCTTGACAGGAAGAGCATGAAACCACCGCTTGGGGAATGGCCACTAAAGTCCCTGTTCCATTCTTAGGGTCTTGGGTACCCACACACAGGCCTGGCATGAACTTTGAGCCACTGGGTCCAAAACTGGGAGTCAAGCAGCGAAAGTAACAATCACAATTCCCTCACCATTTCAAGCCTCCGAATGGTGCACGTGTAAGGTTTAATTGGTCCAAGTAAGCTCAAAGAACCCAGCAGTCCCATAGGTTGTACTTGGAGATGTTGATGAAACCTTAGTATATTTCTAGTGTCTGAGAGGTCCCAAGTTGAAAAGCAATGCAATTAGAGAACCCATGAGCCATACCTGGGTGTGTATTTGAATTATTTTGTATTTGCATTTTTTTCAGTGACATGGGGTAGTTTGGTTTTCTAGACCATCCTTAAAAATAGGAAATAAGACAATTTAATTTCATAAATTGGAAGGTTGTGCTCAGTAGAGGCAAAAAGTGAGCAACCACTTGCTGTAGTCCCTCTCCCCCAAGGCAGGCCTCCCAGGAGCACAGCAGCAGGGGTCTTGGGTGAGTGCTTCTCCAGGATGGACCCAACCAAGCAGTCTGAACTTGCACATAGACAACCGCAGTTTGAGTCCTGGACCTGGTGGCTGGATTTCTCACTTACCCTCTCTCTGGTCAAACTGGGAAAGTCAAAATAACTTGTAAAAAGTTACTAGATTTACAAGTGGGGGTTAGCATTTTTGCTTATTAAAAAGCCAGTGTTAGTGGGATGAAACTTTTTCTTGCTTTTTTGGAGAGGTTTTTGCTGTAGGGTGCGTGCGCTCGCCAGACAGAAAGTGAGAAATCGCCCCCCAGGGGGGATGGCCATGCCACAATCCTTTCTCTCGGGATCTTGGGCACGCACACACGCGCCCAGCGTGAGTTTTAAGCCACCGGGTCCGGGACATGAACCGCGGTCGACTACATGGGAGTCCAGTGACAGCCATTATGCTAACTGCTGGTCCCAGTGGGATGAAACTTGAAGGTGGGTATATGATGTGACTAGTGGAGCTTGAGGATTTTTTTTTTTTAGGTTTTGCCACAGAGTACATGCACTATCTGGAGAGACAGGGAAGGTGAGAAATCTACTTCCTGGGGAAAGCCATGCTGCAGCCCTTCCTCCACTCTTAAGATTGGGGCACACATAACAATACATGCTCCCAGTGTTCAATTTTTTTTTCTTATTGAGAGATTTTTGCTGTAGGATGTGTGTTCGCCAGAGATAGCAGAAAAACCACCACCACTACCATTACCGCCCCTGCTCTGGGGGGATGGCCACACGGCAATCCCTTCTCCCCTCAGGGTTTTGGCCCAGTGTGATTTTCAAACTGTCAGGTCTAGGATTCAAATCATGGGGACTCCTGCAGTTTCACCATGCCACCTGCTGGCCCCAGAAGGTTCAGTGTAAAAGTTTGGTATTCTCCCCCCAGCACACATGGGATTTGTATGTTTAGGTTCACCATCGACTTTTTCAGTGCTCTGGGTATTTAGGGGGGACCTTCTGCAGTCCGAAGTTCAGGCTCCACCAGGGACTCTTGACTCATTTTGGGGTAGCCTGTTAATGGCCTAGTGTCTCAGGAAGGGGGGAGGTCCAGAGCTGGCTAGAGGTGTTGGAGCCTCATAAATGCTGCAGGTGGAGGGGTGCAGGGTCTGCAGAATCAAACTGGGTACTACTGTAAAACCAGTTACCTGAGCTCTGGAAGCAGAGCTACGTTGGAGAGCAGAAGACGCTCAGGACAGCAATGGCTACCATTCAGCTTAGGGGCTGGCAAGTGCGCACCCTCTTTCCCGTGTCCAACTCATTTTTTAATATAATTTGCTATAAGGCTTGCTGTGCTTTTGGGGGCAGGGGGGGAAGAGAGGAGAAGCATCCGGCATAGAGGATGGTCACACCACAAGCCACTGTTTTTCCATTGCTCGACCTATGGGATTTTCAGAGCCTGTGCATGCACACATTCTGAATTTTAAAGAATTGTTTCAAGAATTCATTTGTTACAGGCCACATGCACTCACCAGAGGGAAAGCAAGCCACCAGGTCCAGGAATCAAACTGATGTAGGATCTAGCCACTTTAACCACCACTCCACTGGCTGGCCCTCCTATGAATAATGGCTTTTTTTGGAGAAGTTTTTGCTATAGGGCATGTGTGCTCGCCGGAAAGACAAAGTAAGAAATCACCCCGTGGAGGGGTGGCCATGCCACAATTCTCCATTCTCCTCTTGGGATCTTGGGCATGCACATACATGTGCTCGACGTGAGTTTAAGCTACTGGGTCCAGGATTTTAACAGCAGTCGACTACATGGGACTATAGTGACATAGCCATTATGCCAACTGCTGGTCCTATCCCATGACAAATTTCTAAGATTCAATAATTGTTTAATTGAGCAATAAGGGAGTTATTTTTAAAAAAATAATTATTTTAACTTTACTTATTTTAATGTGACCAGAGGGGCAGAGTGAAAGAGAGAAAGGTAAAGTGAGACAGCAAGCCACCAGGTCCAGGACTTTTGCAAACCACGGTCAGCCATGTGGGAATCCAGCATCCTTAGCCACCACACTGCTTACCGGCCTGGGAACTACTTTTAAATATATTTTTTATTCTATAATGTTCACATGTTTACTTGGTAGTAACTTTTTTTTTTTAATTTATCATTTAAAAAATTTTTTTTTCAACATAGTATAAATCTTTATTCAGTAAAACTATAGGGGAAGCCTCATTGCCTAATGAGATTCAGCTCCTAAGGGTTATCATTTATTTTAATTTGAGTAGAGAAAGACAGAGAGAGGGGGAAAGTGAGAAAACAAGCCACCAGGTCCAGGACTTGAACCGTGATCAGCCATGTGGGAGTATCCAGTGCCTTAACCAACACACCACCTACTGGTCCCTACTATTAGTTTTTGCTATAGGATGTGTGTGCTCCCCAGAGAGCCAGAGAAAGAGGGAAAGTGAGAAATCACTCCCAGGGGGATGACCATGCCACAGTCTTTTCTTCTACATTCTTCTCTTGGGACTTTGGGCACACACTTACATGTGCCTGGTGTGTTTTCCAACCCACTGGGTCTGGGACTCAAACTGTGCAGTTGGCCATGTGGGATTCAGCTGTCTTAACCTCCATGCCACTTGCTGGCCCTCAACTTTTTTTTAAAGGGTCTTGCCGTGTTGTGATCCTCCTGCCTCCTGAGTCTTCAGGATTACAGGTGCACACCACTGTGTCTGGCCTTTGGGTTCAACTAGATTCTAATCAGCTGCACTAACTGACTGATCTTAGGTTGGACCAGGAGCCAAGCTTGGGCCTCCCATGTGTTCCCACCTGTTGAGCACAGAGTCATAGCAACACATGCCACTGCAGTTGGGCCATGGAATAATTTTAAAACTCATTTAAATGAATATACTTTAAGGGTCTTAATAAACCTCAGTTATATGACCTTATTTATATGGTTCTTGGCAATAATTCATTAAAAGGTCAACCTGTTAATTAACCAGCATATTTGAATTACATTGTGTAGCTTTAGGATCAGAAATAGGATCAGGATAAAAATTTCACAGAGGATGGG